CCACCCTTTCTTCTTCCCCTCTTCCAATTTCTTACATTTCCTCTCTGTTTCTCTCCCTCCCTCCTCCCTCCCTAACTTCCTCCATTTTCCTTCCCTACTCCTTCCTTCGTTTTTGTTCTCCCTTTTCTCCTTCCTGTCTTCCTTAATTTCGGGATGGGGACGTGTTAAGTGAGAGACAGGTGTTGAGTGAGAGACAGGTGTTGAGTGAGAGACAGGGGTTGAGTGAGAGACAGGGGTTGGCTGAGAGACAGGGGTTGAGTGAGAGACAGGGGTTGAGTGAGAGACAGGTGTTGAGTGAGAGATAGGGGTTGAGTGAGAGACAGGTGTTGAGTGAGAGACAGGTGTTGAGTGAGAGACAGGTGTTGACTGAGAGACAGGGGTTGAGTGAGAGACAGGGGTTGGCTGAGAGACAGGGGTTGAGTGAGAGACAGGGGTTGAGTGAGAGACAGGTGTTGAGTGAGAGATAGGGGTTGAGTGAGAGACAGGTGTTGAGTGAGAGACAGGTGTTGAGTGAGAGACAGGTGTTGACTGAGAGACAGGGGTTGAGTGAGAGACAGGGGTTGACTGAGAGACAGGGGTTGAGTGAGAGACAGGGGTTGAGTGAGAGACAGGTGTTGAGTGAGAGACAGGTGTTGAGTGAGAGACAGGTGTTGGGTGAGGTATGTGAGGTAGGAGGAAGGAGTGAGGGAGAGAGGTGTATGCGGTAACAGGAATGAGTGGGAGAGAGAGGTGTACGAGGCAGCAGGAAGGAGTGAGGTGTGATAAAGTCATTAGTAGTAGTGATGTAACGTGTTTCATTCTGCAGGTGAGCGTAGTGTAATGGACGACCACTTGTATACTACCAAGGGTCCCAGGCCCACTGTGCTTTGGCGTCCAGCTCATGGAAGAAGCGTCGTCCCAACCCACAACTCCTACATTTCCTTTGACCGTGTCGTCCGCACCGTCCATCTCGCCGAGGCTTTGGATGTCTGCGTGCGTCAGAGAATGGAACCCAAGTTTATCTACTCCCTTTGCAGTATCAACAGGAAGATCCTGAGACGTGATCATCCGTGTAAGAACCTGCAGGTTTTGTGGTTCGGTGGCAAACATCCAGACTACGACGAAGATGAGCCTGACTGGTACGGTAATGTGGAGTTCGCCATCCATGTTGACTTTCTGTTAAAGAAATGGAATTATTGCTTCCTGGTGGATATGATGTCGGCTCCGACCCACTCGGTTACCAGACTGCTAATCACCAACACCGACTATTCAAGGGTGTTGCCTAAGTACGACCCAACTGAACCGGGAGGTCCCTGGCATATTACCCCCAAGAGCCATGAACTACTGACTGACTGCCTGCGGTACAACAACAAGGGCAACAACATTCACGGCCACACTCTGGAGTTCATGATCGAGGCCACCCCTTTCGGCCAGGAAAAACTGTTAGAGAACTGTGAAATCTCATTTAGGAATCACTCTGAGGCCGAAGACATGAGTCGGACACACGTTTGTCATCGCTTCCGGAATACTAATGTTCCGTGTCCTTCCCCCGTCAAGAGCAGCATGGCCTCCAGGATCTTCTTCCATGAACACGCGCGGCTCAGACAACACTCGCTCCTCGCCGCCCCTCGTCTCTCTCACAGCGCTGAGTACTTCCGCCGTTGTTACCTCACCATGGACGGAGCCCCTTCTATCCCTAGACGCAATCTCGTGCCCATGCCTGATCCTCTTCTACACGGCACCCTCCCCATGCACCCTCCAGGGTTTTATATGAACAATCAGTTTTCAAAATTTTTCTTGCAGTTTCCCGGCGGGCTCCTCTTAGGTCACCAAATCTTTCAAAGGAGCTGCGCTGGGATGGGGCCAGAGAGTATGAGACAAATGGTGGACATGCGTTTTTATCCCTGGGCCCACCTCCTTGAACATCTGTGGAAACAGAGGTTACGAGGTGAAGAGGAAGCTGAAGGTGAAGACCCTGGAGGTCACCTCCAGTTAGCAGAAAGCCAGGATCAACAAGATCAGTCTGATGTGGTCGGAACCAGAGGTCACTCTCAGTCTGGGATGCTCCCCAACAATTCGGGTCATCCTGAAATGTTCCAGCACAACCCTTGGTTGTTCCAGTCTTCTTGGAGTCCAGCTTACCCTGGAATGCCGCCAAATTTCGGGGATCTCAGCCAGCCCACAATGTTTCTCCACAGTTGGGGATAAACCCACTGTACTGTACAGTTTGTTTGAAATCTCCCTAGATAATTCTCTGACAATTTAAGCAAGAAGTTTTATTGAGGATCAGTGTAGGATAATCTCAAGACAAGGCTGTGGAAGTATGCATGGAACGGTCGACCTTCATCCAGCTGATCATGCTGTGGTCTGATAATAATAATAATAATAATAATAATAATAATAATAATAATAATAATAATAATAATAACAATAATGATTATGATGTTGATGATGTTGAGCATCATCATAATAGCAATGGTGATGATGATAATTAGGCAAGGAGGAACTTGGTAAACACATCGTGAGGTGAATTCAGTGACTTTCTCCCACAAATAGCGTAATAATGAAGGAACGCAACAGACTACTTCAGACATGATAAGTGGAAGATAAAATGAGACGAGGACAGCCGAGAATCTACTTCACTGACGCCTTCCTAAAGTAACGTTAACATCCACGACTTTTTAATGTTATAAACAAAATAATCAGTGGTATTTGACTCTTGTTAAATCATCCCAGAAATCAAATCGTATGTTTGTCATATATTAATAAACTTTTTGATGTTGATTTACGCGTCTTGTGATCTTAAGAGTTTTATAAGTACCATAAGTCAAATACTCTTTATATAAACAAGTACATTTATTCTTAACACACACACACACGTACACACACACACACACACACACACACACACACACACACACACACCTCCACACACACACACACACACACACACACACACACACACACACACACACACACACACACACACACACACACACACACACACACACACACACACACACACACACACACACACACACTTTATCTTCTTCTACCACTATCTTGTCATTTTTGGTCGTTTTAATTTTTGTGAGAGTAAATATTCAGAGACTGTGTGTGTGTGTGTGTAGGTGTGTGTGTGACCTTTGACCTCGGGCTTGTTTTTTTTTTTTAAACATCGCAGCTATAAAATCCCTTCATATTGCATTCATAATATCTTACCGGGAATCTGTTTAGCTTAGAGATTTGATATAATTTCGAATTATAGTGCCCGATATAGTCAGTCAGTCAGTCAGTCAGTCAGTCTGTTGAAGATACAAATTTCAATGGCCGCTTCTCTATTTCACCATCAATGTCAATTACCATATAAGTTAGGGTAGGTTATCATAAGTTAGGTTAGATTAGGTTAGGTCAGCATAAAATAGGTTAGGATAGGTTAGTGTAAGTTAGATTAGATTAGGTTAGGTTAGCTTAACTTAACTTAGGGTAGGTTAGGTTAGGTTAGGTTAGCTTAACTTAGGTTAGGTTAGGTTAGGTTAGGTTAGCTTTACTTAGGTTAGGTTTGGTTAGGACGCCGTCAATATATATCACCAATTTTTCATCTCTAGGAAACATCACTAAAAGGGGTAAATAATCATATCGTTAATATTATTTGCTGATGAACCGAAAAAAGACCCCAGCCAGTGCAGAGCTTCAGGTAGATGCGGAAGGTAAGCCTTGGCTCCCCTACCCGCTAACATTTGAACCCAAATTTAGCTGCAAATGTAAACTTTAGTGGTAAAATGGCAGATCTACTAGATGGTAACACTGCCTCTTGCTGCCACACACTCCTTATTTCTTTACTCTCTCTCTCTCTCTCTCTCTCTCTCTCTCTCTCTCTCTCTCTCTCTCTCTCTCTCTCTCTCTCTCTCTCTCTCTCTCTCTCTCTCTCTGTATTTATCTTTGTATAAATATTTCCTTTTGTTCTGCTTTGTATGTTTACTTGTACATTCTCTTTATTTCTCTGTCTGTCTCTCTGTCTGTCTGTCTGTCTGTCTCGTGAACTAGGTACATATGCAAAGTTCATCTATTCACAAACATGTTATCATTATATTTTTTGATTTACACACTTAAGTTTAGTTAGCAAGAATGTAAAACACACACACACACACACACACACACACACACACACACACACACACACACACACACACACACACACTCATTCTACCGTCCATCACCAGTCACAGTTTGTAGTCCTAACCTAACCTAGGGTAGGGCTGCAACATGTGGTCTTCAAGACAGCAATAAATTGTCAATCAGTCAACTGACATCTTATTTACCTGAGCTGTCAGTCTGTCAGCTGGGAGTGACAGTTGACAAACTACAACTCTCTCTCTCTCTCTCTCTCTCTCTCTCTCTCTCTCTCTCTCTCTCTCTCTCTCTCTCTCTCTCTCTCTCTCTCTCTCTCTCTCTCTCTCTCTCTCTCTCTCTCATCCACCGCCTCGGCCATTGTTTATTATTGCTTGAAGGTTAACACTAGCCACTGTAAACAGTTATCTTTGGGAAGCTCAAGTATTGATTGGTCAGATCCGCGTCCAGCAATACGTGACGTGAGAATTCGACCAGCCAACGTCAACACCATGGTGACTTTTCTTCCTTCCTCCTTTCAAGCGACAGATTCCTGGTGATTGAACGACGAATCCTGGTTTTTAACTGGAAGACTGTATATAAATAGTGGTTTTCTCATTGGTTAGTTAGATTTCAGCTTTCTTATTGGTCCTTTTGATTTGAGGATATGTATTTCTTATCGAGCTCCACAAGTAATCCTAAAAATAACATCGTCAATCCACTTAATATGAAACAGAACTTAACCTGACACTTGGTAGTTATGAGAACATGGCAGCGTGTGGAGTTAGGGATGTAATGTTGAATTGATTTATGAAGCGAAAGTAGATAAGTGAACAGATATCTCGGGGCTGGTGGGGTGGGTCTGAGGTGAGGCGGGGTGGGGTGGGGTGGGGTTTGGTTGGGTAGGGTAGGGTGGGGTAGGGTGGGGTCCTGTGGGGTGAGGGGAACGCCACACAGGACGCTGATAAGACGATGAGAGAAAACGAAGAGGGGGAGACTGTGGTGTTTTTTAATTGTGACGCGGAGAGAAGGTTGTGAGTCAATAGTATTAATCTTTACTAATGCTGTTAAAAAAGGAAAATTGTATTATATATTTTCTAGAGTATATCAGACGTACTTATTGATCTAGTAGAAACTTAAAATACCAGTCTTTAATATGAAGAATGTATATTGTATATCTGTATTTTCTGTATACTGTATTGTACATGCTGAACTGTATACATGCTGAACTATATACATGCTGAACTGTATACATGCTGAACTGTATACATGCTGAACTGTATACATGCTGAACTATATACCTGCATTGTCTATATAAAATATTGGATCTGGTTTAAACTTGTATGATGATTAACTTAATAAATGTATCTAATAAAATATACTGTTTAGCCTCATCTAAAAGACTATAGTTACCTTCTTAAAACCTAACCTAATCTAACATAACCTAACACAAGAACAACTATTTACACTGGAAAAAATAATCTCTGGTGTTAAGTTTGGGTAATGTTTCACTGTTACCATTCTAATATTTCTTTACCTGCCTTGTGTAATTGCCACAGATTATATTATTTTTGAGTAGAATATCTAAAAGTAAGTGAGTACGTTCTCTTTGTCTCTCTTTCTGTGTGTCTCTCTCTGTCTGTCTCTCTCTCTCTCTCTCTCTCTCTCTCTCTCTCTCTGTCCATCTGTCTATCTGTCTCTCTTTCTCTCTGGCTTTCTCTCTCTGTGCTTATCCTTCTGTCTCTGTCTATCTCTCTCTCTATCTATTTGTCTCTCTCTCTCTATCTGTCATAAAGCAACAAGAAGCTCTGACAGGGAAGGGAGGTGAGGAGGGGGTAGTAGGCAGGTACACCTTCAGCTCAGGTTATAAACACAAGTAAACAGTCTCCACTCACTTGCCTACACGGCTGCCAATACGACCCCAGAAAGAACCTTCACCACGAGGCTCTTGGTGGCTCTTACACTACAAGACTATCGCCTAAGAGGCATTTACGCTGAGTCTATGTAAAAAAAATATAAAAACCTGTATATGACAGGAAAAGTAAACCAGTGAAAACTAATCTTATGGTCTTAGGTTCGTATTTTGCCTCACACGTTTTGATTCTTAGCTTAAGTACTTCTGGCCAAATCCGTTTTTTTGTGTTTGATGGGCTTTTGATGTTGAAAGGTAAATATTTATATAAGGATAATATAACCAAGGTGAGGTGTATAGAAAAAATAGTGATACGTATATTTTTATATAACTTTCTGAACTTTGAAGTGAGACTGAATGAATGCAATTTATTAAAAAAAGGAAGATTAGATAATAATATTAAGTTATATATAAACAATAAAGGTTACTGAGACACCAGATAAAATATCAACTTTGTATTTTTTGGGAATGTTTGGACGTACAAAATACACCAGAAGGTTACCCATCACTCAGACTCTGGTATACAATCCTACCTTAAATTTATAGAGAAAAAAAAGATCTGGATGTTGACGTAGAGTAAAACCTGTGTGTCCCCAGCCGTTAAACACACGGCCATTCTTTAATCTCTCAGATAAATATACAAATCTTAAAAGAACGATAAAATGCAGGTAATATTTTTGTTTGCATCATATTTTTTCATTGATATAATAAGGGATGTGGAAGAGAGAAAACAAACAGGAAGTATTATAAAAAGTTAAGGGAATCGAACACTCGTCAAATTATCATCCCAAATCCTCTTTCTGCTGATTCAATTGTGATCCATTTCATATGAACCAAGTCCCATACCTGGCTTCGAATCCGTGTTATAAAATACTTCTCTTCTGGGGTATTCAATCGGTTCTGACACTAATGAAAATATTGATATGTTTTTATTTTCTCGTGATGTTAAAACTGTGCCATGAGACTGAAATTTGGTACATGAAGTGTGGACGATAATTATCAATGGATGGAGAGAAGGTTCAAACAATCCCCAGACTAGAATTATTTCCTAACCTAACCTAACCTAACCTAAACCGTCCTAACCTAACCTAACCTAACATGATTTTACCTTAACTACCTAACCTGATCTAACCTAACGTAGCTAAGGTTAGGGGAGACAGGCAGGAAGGGAGAGAGAGAGAGAGAGAGAGAGAGAGAGAGAGAGAGAGAGAGAGAGGAACGTTCTAATATTACTTTGTCACCTTCATAAATTCTCATCACCTTACATATCACATACCATAATCACCCCTTTAACTTCTTCTTCATCTCTCCATTTATCTTAATTATATCATCTACATATTTATCTTCCTTTGCTTGATGGTCCGTATGTTAACTTCCCGCCGTCTCACCTGTACACTTACCTTTCACTCAGGTCGGGTGGTAATTAGTGCAAATGTATAAGTCCCAAGGTAAATATTGTTCAAAATTCGTGTGTTAAATCTATCCCCCACCACGCCCCACCCCACCCCACCCCACCCCACCCCACCCCACCCACCCCACCTCACACCACCTTACCTACCCCCTATTTCCCCACCCTACGTAAGATGTAAGGAAACATCTTGCTTAACTTACTCTTGTATAACCTACGACACACACACACACGCACACACCTCAGCTCTCTTTCTCTCTGGTGGTTCTTGTTTGTGCCATAAAAGAGAACCGTGACAGGCAGTTGAGCGAACGTTCGTCTGGCGTAGGTTCAGCCTGCATGGTGTATAGAAATGGAGGGAAGGCTGGTGTACGTTCGTCAGGCGTAGCTTCAGCCTGCATGGTGTGTAGGAGTGGAGGGAATATTGGCGTACGTTCACCTGGCGCAGTGTAGCGGAGTGACTTTTTTGTGGTTGTGTCCATAACCATGTAAGGACAGAAGGGAGGGAAGTCTGGCGAACATAAGTCTGGCGCAACGACCCTGAACATTTGATGATGAAATGGATGGAAGGAGTCGAACGTTCGTCAGGCGCTGTTTTCAGTAATGCTTCATGACGAGGTGGAGGGAAGGCTGGCGAGCGTTCGTTTGGCATAGTAACGTAACCTAATCTAATTTAACCTAACCTACTGTAATGGGCCCTGACCTATTAGACTCTATCCTATATTAACGCCCATTAGGACCAGAGGCCGTTTGACCAGTCACAGCTCGACACACTCAGTCTCTCGGTAACTGCTACACCTGGAACAATAAATATATATTATTCCCACGATCTTTATTTTAGTGTATTCATGAAGTTATGAATGAAATTCCAGTTGCCTGAAGCCGTATTTTCCTCCCACTTAAGTCTTAAAACACTTCAAAATCAGTATCAACACTTAACAAACTACAAAAAAAAATCCCTATTCGAGTAGTACCTCTAAACACTACAGCACCAATAGCTCCTCAAGCAGAACCGTATTTGGAGTGCCACTCAGTGTACTGTTCATTGTTACCCTGGGCAGGTTTGGTCTTCTGTAGAGCTGACTCCACATCACACATCTTAATAGAATCTAACTTCAGGTCCGGTAGCTCTGAGTCTTCCACTGTGTGATGGAGACAAGCTTGGTGGAATTATTGTATTAAAATGAGATATAGATGAAATATATAGATTATGTAAAAGGAAAAGTATAAAAAAAAGTAATATATAAGTTAAAGATGAAGTTAGACCATACGTAGAATAAAGTATAAAATATGAATAAATTAGTAATGATTTCGTAATAATAAAAACAGTATTAATAAAGTATAAAATATTGAGATTAATTTAAAAACCGTGAAAATAATGAACAAATCAAATTTGAGTAGTAAATGAGATTAATTATCACTCTATCACTTGTCACTGCCAGCATCATCACCTACCATTGCCAACATTCACCTTCATGTCAACTCTCACCTGTTAATCACCGAATTAATCTCACCTGAATGGTCTTCGAGGACATTGAAGACCTTCCTGAGGCAGCCCATGGCCGCCTCCCGACACACCACCTGCAGATCTGAGCCGCTGTAACCCTCCGACATCTGTAGAAGGAGAGGGAGGGGGTGAGGGCGCCTTTAAGGGAGGTAAAGGGAGTGAATAGAGCAGGGGAGGACGAGTGGAAGAGAGAGGGAAAGTGGTGAGGGGAGGGAAGGAGAGCGGGCGTGAGGAATTGGGAGGAGGGGAAGTGGTTAGGGGAAGAGGGACGAGACTACTGGCCTTATCTGATGATCCCCAACTGACTCCCATGACCCTCCCACTGACCCCTCGTGACCTGCCACTGACCTGTGCTAACTTCTCATAGTCGAGGTGGGTGGTGATGGCGTGGCCGGCCTCTTCCAAGTCGGAAATGACCTCCGGCAAGTGGTGTCTAAACATGGCCTCGCGCGCCTCCATGCCTGGGAGAGGCACCAAGATCCTCTTTTCCAACCTCCGGAGCATCGCCGGGTCCAGCTGCCTGTGGGGAAGGATACTGTTAGTTAGAGGCAGCAGCTGGAAGATAACTCACCAAGAGGCTGCAGCTGGAAGATAACTCACCAAGAGGTTGCAGCTGGAAGATAACTCACCAAGAGGCTGCAGCTGGAAGATAACTCACCAGGGTATGTTAGAGGCAGCCAGCAGGAAGACGTGATGGTTGGCTTGGGTGAGGCCGTCCAGTTCCACCAGCAGTTGGGTCTTCATCCTGCGGGAGGCCTCGTGTTCCTGCTCCCCCTGGCGGGAGGCCATCAAGGCGTCCACCTCATCCACGAAGATGGTTGAGGGGGCGTGGAACCTCGCCATCTCGAACAGTACCTGTAGGTGGTGGTGGTGGTGGTTATTGTGCCAGCTGAATAATACACGTAGACACACACACAAATTACCTCGTATTCACCCCAGAATGCATTGCGGTAAACAAATGATGACGTAGTTATGATTAGGCTGTATCACACACACACACACACACACACACACACACACACACACACACACGCATACACACCATAATACTCACCCTAACAAGCTTCTCAGAGTCGCCTCTCCA